GCCGAACGAATGGCTTTTAGTTCGGTCAGATTTTTGTGATGCTCCATGTCTGCTGGAAGGCAAACACTCCTGGCAAGATTGAATGCCATCATGTGATCCTTCTCAGCGACCACCGAGTCAGTATCCTGAGTAGCTCGGTTTTGAAAAGTGATTTTGGGCTCCCACTTGGAGGAGCCAACCCGGTCAGAGTGCTCCGGTTGCGGGCTCGGTGGAGGGCTTGGTAGAAGAAGGGTTTCGTCTTCATCAACTAGGCGTTGCTCGGTTTGGGTAGTCCGGGTACGCTTGTTTGGGCGAGATAAGGACGGTTGTTGAGATGGAAGGGCCACCACGGTCTCCTGAGCCTGGTTGGACGGTGGTACCTCGGCTCGGTTGGTTTCGGTTAGAAGGGCCCTTACTTTATTCCTCTTCTCCATTTCTTCTTCAGCAGTAGTACGGACTAGGTTGATTTGTGGCAAGGTCGGGTCCGGTTCAGGAGAGGCCTCTAGCAAAAAATCTGTTACTTTGGCTTTTCGTCGGCTGCTATATCTATACGTCGGCTCAAAATTCAGTAGTTTGGCCCAGCTTCTTTCAGGGTATCGTAGTGCGGCGCAAAGTGTGCCTAGGTCGGGGTAACTGTATAATGACTTAAGGTGGGCTGAATCTGCATAAAGAAGGCAAGTGTTAGTTCGGTTCAGAAATAGGTGACCGAAATAAAGAGAAGCATGCATTAGAGCCGAGGTAATTATACCGGTGGTTCCTTTATTTCAGTTTATTCGGTCACCAGGAATCTGGGCTTCATGGTCTTCAAAGTTCCCAGAAACCCAGAAGAAATCATCATCGTTCAAGTCTTTATTCGGTGTGTTCGTTATTATTTTCTCTCGACGACGGCGTATTCTTAGATAATAGACCCAACCATCTTCTTTTGATCCTATTGAATATTGATGAAAAAGTTCGGCTAAGCCGAGGTTAATGCCAGCTCGACAGTTTAGCTCGACTATACCGTTAATTATGCGATATGAGTTTGTGGAAAGCTGGGTTGGGCATATCCTAGTTTGCCTAAGGAATTCACAAAGTAAGGGCTGAACAGGGAATCTTAGGCCAGTTTCTACAATGGAAAGGAGGGTGAAGGGAACAAAACCAGGGTTCTCCCAAGGTATGATATCTTGTTCGGCCAAGGTGAGATGGACGTCATCAGGGATGTTATAATCCTTTCGGAATTCGGCCAAACCCCTCGGTGTGTCTACCAAGAACCTATATTTACCCATTCTCTTTTAAGTTACGAATAAATTAAGCTTGTGTTAGCTCGGTCGGAGAAAGGTGCTGAGTAGTTCGGTTGAGCGCTCAAAGGAGTGCCTAGGCAACCTAAAGTTTGCAAAGTGAAAAAAGAGGTGTTAAGCACAGCTCGTGGGACCGTGCTAAAAAGAACAAAAAGGGGCAAGATAATTATAGTCCTAGCTCGGTTTGAAAAAAGAATTTGGCATCTTGGTTTGTGCAAGGGGTTCGTTATTTCGTTTTGTGCAAAGGTTAGTGTTAGCCCGGTTAAACCTCTAGGGGCAACGCTCTTAGTTCGGTTTGAACTATGAAGGCTGGGTTAGCCCCAAGTTATAGTTCGGCCGTGGTTGAGACTAACAGACACACTATTACGCAGACTTAGTGCGGATTGCTAGCTCGGCTGAGTTAAAACAAGAGGTGGTTTGACTTGTTGAAACTATTGTTATAACGTGAAGTGTTAGTTCGGTTGAATGGCCTGGCTAGAGTGACATCAACTACAAACTACTTTTTAGTTCGGTTGTACAGTGATTTTGGATCAAAATCAGTGTTTCAGTTTATTCGTGAAAAGCCAGAGGTTCTATTACACGAAACAAAGGTATGTGTTTAGGAAAAACACACAAAATACATGTATTGTAAAAGCAAATGCGAAAACAACAAAAATAAGGCAGATTTGAGTAAACTTACTAGATCAAGGGGAAGAAATCGGAGATGGAAACAACGGCAATGAAGAATACGAACTCAGCAAGTTCAGGGTTAAAGAAACTCAAAAACGAGAGAGTGAGAAGAGAGAATGAATAGTGTGGTGAGTGATTCAAGAAAACAAAGAGTTTTGTTTTGATGGAAGGACCAGAGGCGGGAACTGTTCAAAATTCACGGAGTACGAAGATGGCGTGACAGCTGCATTAGGCCAATCAGAGGGGGCCACGTGTCATAGGAATGAGAAACGATTCAGTTGCTGTGATAGAAGCGATTCAGTTACTGTGATTGAAGAGACGTTTTGACCGGACAGGTACAGCCTAGTGTGAATTTAGCTCGGCTGAAAAGGCGAAAATGGTTTTTAGCCCGGCTGGAAAGGCTAAAAGGGTTTTTTACCCGGCTGGAAAGGCTAAATGGTTTTAGCTCGGTTGGAATTCTGAATTTTTTTTAGCTCGGCTGGTAACAGGTAATCCCTATCATGCTACGTAGATGGAATTAAGGGGCAATTGAGAGGGTAATTTATACTTATAAATTGGGTCGAGCTAGGTAATGGGCCGTTATGGGCCACATTGCGAAGGGTTGAGTAAAAAGGCCATGAAGTTACTCCGGCCCAAGAGAGGTGCAAAGTTACTCCGGTCCGCAAGAGACCTGAAGTTACTCCGGTCCCAAAGAGCTTACGGTAAGTTTGGTCGTTACTCTCAAAGTTATCCCGGTTTGGGCCGGAGTATTGGTTATTCCGGTTTAGACATACTGTGGTTAGCATTAAGAAGAGCCAAGGTAAGAGTGGTGTATGGAAGAGCCGAGCTAATGTTATCTCGGTCTAGTCTGCAGCTTAGCATAGCTATGCTTACCTCGGTCGTGTTGAAGTCTGATCATGGTAGAACCATCTCACTTAGTTTATGCAGTGAGGGGGGGTGTTGAAGGATAAATATTATCTTTCAGGAGTATGAATTCTAGGAGGATTCTACATGGAGGAGTAAAAGTCCTACTAGAATTGTGCCACGCGGAACCTATAAAAGCTTACAATATCACCTATGGAGAGGTAACACAACTTTGATTTCTGAATACACAAAACTTTTGTCTACTTGTCTATTTTGCTGATTTAGGCATCGGAGGAGTTTCCGGCACACACCCGCCGGCTAGCTCACGTTTGTGTTTTCAGGGAGTAAAGCGACGACGTTTGGAGGAACGCGGACTTGATCAACAGGACTATACGATAAAGTTTATTTCTTTCCCGCACAATTTGAATTATAAAAATGATCATACAACAAGCAAAATGCACCGTCCAATCCAAATAAGTAGACTTGAAAGAAGTTATCTCATTATACAATCTACTACCATGTAATAGCAAGCTTAGATGTGCTAAAATAGTTATAAAAGATAAAATATAATTTTTAACTTAATAAAATAAAATATCATATTTTAATTATAATTATTTTTTTTTTTATAAAAATTAAAAAAATAAAGAAATTTATTTCAAACGAAACTTTTTAATATAGATTAAAAAATTAAAAAGTTAACTAAAATCCCAAAGGAAAACATGAATTCCACTTGAATGATGCTAGAACGGAGAAATCGGACAAAAATTCCAAGAAAAACATGCTATTGATATTTTTTGTGTTTACATATTATTTTTTTATGATATTTTTTGAGCGTCGAATAAATTAACCATAACCATATGATATGTAGGCTTTATTTCCACCGTGTCTTTGTTACCTTTTTTTATATTTATTTTTCTTTATTTTTGTTTTTTGTTTTGTTGCTTTTCTTTTTGTCCAAAAGCAGGTGTAAGCGCACCATAAATATTCATGATTAATCTTTTTGTTTTATTCTTCTCTCTGTTTAGCAGCCTTTGTAGTCCTACCATGTAGCACGTACAGATTTTTTTTTTTTTTAATTTCATGAACTGGTCCTGTAATTGGATACTTATATCATTTTGATTTTCAATCAATTGTGACACATTTGACCCTGAATTTTGAATCTTATTCCACATAAGGACAATTGAAGATACCATTGATTAATTTCGAGGGCAAAGTCATCAATTTAATAATATATAAATTAATTTAACAAAAATAAATGTCAAAAAATTATTTTTAAATTTTAAAAAATTATTTCTACTCTCCCAAAAGATAAAATTATATAAAAATAATAAAATTTTTACATTTTTTTTAATTTCTTAATAAATTAATTTTTAGTATTTATTTAGATGATAATAATATAATGGGTGGTTATTTTTAATGATATTTTTTTTATGGCTATCATGTAATAGATAGTTATATTTGTTGTCACTAGATAATTTTAAATGATTATCAAGTAATGGATGGTTATTAGACTTTTAATGTGTAATCGATATATTTAATATATGAATGTTTTTAGTTTTAGATTTTTTGATTTCATAGATTGGTTTAATAATAATATCAAAATTGTTGTCATGTTTGACTCTTGAAAAAATAAAAATAATTTAACGAAAATAAATATGAAAATTATTTCTACTCTCCCAAAAGATAAAATTATATAAAAATGATGTGTTTTAAATTTTTTTCATCAATTTAATTTTTAATTTCTTAAAAAAAATCTGAAAATATATTCTAAAAACCAAACAAAACAAAACTTTATAACCAAGAAAATTCTAACATACAAAGAGTCAAGCTAATCAGTGTAATTTTTCCTTTTTTTTTTAATTAATTTTTTTTTATGGGGTTCTCATAATATTGCTCAATCATCAGCCTCTCACAAAGAGTCAAGCTAATCAGTGTAATTTTTCCTTTTTTTTTTAATTAATTTTTTTTTATGGGGTTCTCATAATATTGCTCAATCATCAGCCTCTCACAAAGAGTCAAGCTAATCAGTGTAATTTTTCCTTTTTTTTTTAATTAATTTTTTTTTATGGGGTTCTCATAATATTGCTCAATCATCAGCCTCTCACAAAGAGTCAAGCTAATCAGTGTAATTTTTCCTTTTTTTTTTAATTAATTTTTTTTTTATGGGATTCTCATAATATTGCTCAATCATCAGCCTCTCACAAAGTCTTTGTGAAAGTCTCTCACAAATCCCACTCATCTCACTCACACACACACACACACACACACACACACACACACACACATAATTGGTGGTTGAGTTCCTGTGATCATTCACCAAGAAGGGTAGATGATTTAGGGACCCCATCACACCACCAACAAAGCTTTCCAAACCTCTCATACCCTCTCTCTCTCTCTCTCTCTCTCTCTCTCTCTCAAAGAAAGGGAAGAAAATCAAGAGAATGGCATCCAAGAGAACTGAGTCTATGAAAAAGGAAATCAACAGGGGTGCATGGACTGCTGAAGAAGATCAAAAACTAGCTGAGGTCATCGAAAGCCATGGTGCAAAGAGGTGGAAGACCATTGCAATCAAAGCAGGTATTGTTGATTCATATCATGAGTGATGGCTCTAAACTCTACTACTCAATTACATAACACAAGTTGCACAAAGACATGCTTCTGTGTTCAGTTCAGTGACCAGTTTCTATGTTTATAGACTTATTCTGTATGCACCGACAAGTAGCCGTACTCCTCAATTGAAGTAGATGTGATTTTCGATGTTTGCAGGGCTCAATCGATGCGGAAAGAGTTGTAGACTGAGATGGATGAATTATCTGAGACCTAATATCAAGAGAGGAAATATTACAGACCAAGAAGAAGACTTGATTTTTAGGCTTCATAAACTCCTAGGAAACAGGTGATTTTTATCTTCCCTGACACCTCCAAATTAGTGTCGTCTTCATTGCTATCGGGAATTCATCAACAGTGCTATATATTCAGAAAATTGAGCAATGCTACGTACACACAAAAATATATATATATATATATATTCAAAATATTTAGTGTATGATACAGATTCATTTGAGAACTGGCTTACACCGTACAAGATTTGAATATCAACCACATATAATCTTTAAGCTATATTTCCATATGGTTTCTGTGCACATATCTTTTCTGTAAAAAATTATTTAAAAAAGGTACAACAACCCACATCACACAAAATTTGAAGCTATACATCTAACTTTCTTGATAATTTTGGGTATAAACCTTTTGAGCAAATAGCATAGTCTAGTACATGCAATGTTTTTTCTTTTTTCTTTTTTTTTTCTTTTTTTTTTCAGAGTAAAAATTGAGTAAATAGCATTTTTTGATTTTCATAGTCCAGTATATATAATGTATTTTATTTTTATTTTTGTGTGTGGATATTTTCAAAATAAAAATTCTGACTGAATAGCATTTTTTTGATTTTCATAGTCTAATGCATATGATTTATTTATTTAGTTATTTATTTATTTTCTTTCTTTTCTTTCTAGATGGTCTTTGATAGCGGGAAGACTACCGGGTCGAACAGATAATGAAATCAAGAACTACTGGAATTCTCATTTGAGCAAGAAAATAAATCAAATGGAGAAACAAAATGAAGGATCAAGAGGAGAATTAGGCTCAAAGACAAAGAGAAGACGGGTAGTAGAGAAGGCCAATGAGGATATGAAAGGAGAGGAGACCTCTAATGGTGGTGAGGACTCAAAAATCAACTTTGATCATGATGATTTCTTTGATTTTTCAAATGAGAGTCCTTTTACTCTAGGGTGGGTTAGTCAATTCCTTGATCTAGACAACAATTTATGTGAATTTTCATCATAAAATTGTAGACTTTTGTTCCTCTCCTTGTGGTTTGGTTGTGTAGTGCATGAACAATCAATTTTGATGTTGAGATTGATGAATCATCACTTTGACATGCCAAATCATCTGTAAATCAACCATCTTAGGTATTCTCAATTCATTTTCCAAATTCTTTTTGTTGTGGTTTTGTTTTCAAAAAATATTAAAAAGTTATTTTCAAAAACTGTCTTATTTCAAAAATAAAAATCATATAAAAACAATGAATGTTCTTGAATTTCTCATTGTTTTTATTATTTCCAAAGCAAATAAAAAAAAAATAAAACAAAATTCTAGCATCTCTACTAATTTTTTTTGTGATCAATTCGCGACTGTCACGTGTGATTTGTCCCTTCAAAAATAGGAGCACATATGACCATTTAAAAAATAAATAAATAAACAAAAATAAAATAATCACATGAAGCGAGGCTGAAATTACTCCACTTGATAGGCAAATAAACAGTTGACAATAAAGCATTAAAACAGCAACAATGTTACATATCACTAAATTCTTATCATTAACACCACCATTAATGATGTGATAAGTAAAAAAAAAAAAAAATTAAAACACAAAACACATGTGACAGTGAATGAGACTCACTGCCACATCTCTAGTGCAACCACTAATTAGTAGTCTGTATCATTTTTATTTTTTTTAAAACAGTAATGTTTTTGGAGGGTAGTTCACAATTGATGGGACGTTTTCACTTTTTTGCCTATCAAGCGAAAAAAAGGGACAAATGCACAGGAGGGATATAGTGAAAGTGAAAAAAGGGACAAATGCACATTATTGGAGGCATAAGTTGGAGTATAATTGGATGATGGGACAAAAGGTTCTGGGGATTAAAAGTGTTATCATTTGCGGAGAGATTTTCTGAGAAAAGAGTCTTTAAGAGTTTTTTTCATCGGATTAATCATTGAGAGGTAGACTTCACAGAAAATGCATGTGTTAGACCATCTCTAATTCTGAATTAAATTTGGTATTAAATTTAAAATTTAATAAAAAAATATTTTTTCATGCTCCAATAATTTTACTAAATTGATATCAAATCGAGATTTCACCAAACGTTTCACTAAAATGAGGACAGGTTCCGCATTTCATCAAAACACTGTGCATGACTGTTGGGGAAAACTAACCGGTCGACCACCAAAAAGTTTAAATAGTTCCAAAAAAAAGTCAAACAGTTGAAAAAAAAAAAATTTTTTTTTTTTGCCTTACCGGTCAACCAGCCGGTCGACTATTAAAAGGTTAAAAAAAAATCAAAAAAAAAAAAAAATTTTTGGCTTAACCGGTCGACCACCTGATCGACTGGCCGGTCGACTAACCGGTTATCTCGGCACAGATTTGATGAAAATTTGATGAAAATCAACCGTTGGAGCACACGGTATCAGATTGAGGAAGAAGTCATTTTTTTACTCAAATTTAATGAAAACTTTGATTCAGAATTAGAGATGCTCTTAGCCACTTGTGCAGAGGAGACGGACTACTTAGGAAATTTACACAGTAATTATATCAACTATGCCACATCACTCATCTTGACTACTTAGGAAATTTACACAGTAATTATATCAACTATGCCACATCACTCAATATGGCACTATCATTTTGATTCTTAATACAATGAGGAAATAAAGAGAGATGAAAAGAGGAGACATGAAAAGGGTGAATTTATCCCTTTACGTCATTTATTTTATATTATTAAAGACGAATTATGAGTGTTCAATTAATATTTTCAAGTATTTTCCTTAAGAATAGGAAGAGATTTGGCCTTATGGGTCCACTTGAGGGCCAATTGACAGACTATGGCTGTGTTTTGAGACTCTCTAAACACATTTTTATCATTTGTTTTGAATGTGTTGTTTGTTTAGAATTTTTAAAAATTAATTTTATATCTATTTTTAAAATTTTTTTGCAAGGTGAAAAAATTTGGGCTAACCAATTGACCAAAATAGTGTGTTTTTTTTTTTTTAATTGGCGCTTGTTATTTTTTATATTTTAAATAAAAAAAATTTCAGCATTTAAATTTTTTTTATGAGCTTTAAATAGAATTTTGAGTTGTGTGTTTAGTTATGAGTTATAAGTTTTTGTATCAAATATCATATGTCACATCAAAAATTCCTCACTCAATTCAAAACTTATTCACCAAATAAATTTTTCACACTTAAATCATAATTTTAAAACTCACAAACTCAAAATATAACTCTATTATCAAATCATATTTAGAAAATTCTACCAAACGTTACCTATATTTTTTATTTTTATTTTTATATGATAGGATGTTAGGGGCCAGTAAATTAGATTATGATGAAAAAGTCTCAATCGTTTCATCAGTTCAAATATTGAACTTCTGATTTTCTCATAGTTTTAAGGAATAACTATATGAACCACTAGGCTAATTGCCACGCGAGAGACCATAGTTATTATTATCCAATTAATTTGATTTTTACATTAATAATCAGGTAAAAAGACTACAGAATGAATAAATCAAATTTTAACGCTTCGTTTATTTGGACTAAAAACATTTTCAAATAGAAAATATTTTTCAATGTTTGGTGGTGGTGGTGGTGGTGGTGATAGCGGCATGGAGGTGGGATGGCGGCAGCGGTTATAGCGACGGTGATAGTGGTAGTGGCCGTTGTGATGGTGACGTGGCGGTGGTAGTGTGGTGACATTGATAAGATTTTAGTCCGAAAAATATTTTTTGCCTTTTAAAAATGAAAAACATTTTCTACCTATATAGCACTACAACATATAATAGTTTTAGAGACCAAATGTTTTGTTAAAGTGAAATTTTGTTACAAAAGACATTTAGGAACCAATTTCTATCGTCATGAGGATAGTCACTGAAAGATCGTCCCGAAAAGTTAAAAATAAGGTTTAGCGACAAAATTTTGAAAATGTCACTAATAAATAAACTTTTAGGGACAAAACAATTTGGTCTCAAAATGGTTTATTTTTTGAGACAAAAAATTTGATCCCAAAAGGATAATAATTTATCACTAATGTCTAATTTTTGTTGCTAAAAATATAATAACACTTTTTGCAACAAAAATATTTAGTCTCTAAAAAATAATTTTGTGCCTAAATTTTGGTCTCTCAAACTTTAATTTTTTGTAGTGTAGATTTGTTTTCTGTTGACTATAGAAAATGTTTTCCATTGACTTGCATTTTTTATTGTACTTAGGCCTCATTTGGGAATATACTTTTTTAATAACTTTTTGACTTTTTGATTAAAATATGATGTAAAAAAAAAAATTAGTATGTTTGGGATAACTTTTTAATTTTTTTACGAAAAGATATGCAAATAATACAGAGAAAAAGAAATCTTTAACTTTTTGATATAAGTTGTTGATTTTTAATTTTTTTAGTGATTTTTTAACATTTAGACTAAAAAGTAATATTGCCAAATGAAACTTAAACACTAAAAAATACAAAAAAATATTTTCTAAAAAATATTCTCTATCCAAACGAACGAATCGTTAAATAAATTCATAGATCCCTAATTTGATTTTTACATTGATAATCCCGTTACAAGGACTAATAAGAAATAATAGAATCAAAATATCGAAGTGGGCTGGCAATCCCCAATTGAACCCTTCAGCTCAATTAACGCACTAGAGAGATGTTTGATACAAACTCAATTCATATGTGATATGCATCCTCCGGGTGATCCTATTTATACCCAAAAAAATCATTCAGTACGTACAATTTCTTGATACTTCTTATTAAATTATTTAAAATTATAATTCACTCTCAATACAATTTTTTTCCCCCACAAATTATCCTTCCATCTAAAATCATAATTTATGACACATCTAAATAATCAACAAATCAATTCAAAAATATTCCTTCATCTCTTCTGAGTTATGGGCCTCTCTCTCTCTCTCTCTCTCTATATATATATATATATATATATATGTACGGGGAGCAAATATTCCGGCAAGCCCGTACACCTTTCTTCCGTGCTCCGTCTCTGTCCGATTGCCTGCGTACACAACGGCAGTGAGCTACCCGGCGGTGTGTGGCCGGAAAACCCCTCCAACGATCAAGTCAGATACACACACAGGGATAGAGAGAGAGAGAGAGAGAAGATTGAGTGTATAATGTAGGTCTCACCAAATGTTCATCTGTCCCCGTATGGGGGGCGCAAACATGCTTATATACCTTCTGCGCCCCAAACCTACTCCCAGTGACCTCTCAACACGTGGCACTGCTATCCCATCTGTCAACATAAACCTCGCTGAGCACCACCTAACCCAACTGCCTACCCATTCTCCTGGGAGCTCGGCAGCCGGGCAGTATCATCTCGACCATCGTCTGCCATGCTGCGCTTCATGCCCAAGTACTCCAACAGCTAAGCTCAGATGAGGACCGGACTCGACAGCATCTCGGCAAAGCCGAGCTCGGGGCAACTAACGCTTGTCTGCGGTCGATCTACCAGCCGAGCAAACAGGTACCTCAGGCCAACCTTGCCTTTCCTGGCGTTGGACTTTTCACATGACCAGCTTCGTAACCACGGATCCTTGCAGCTCGGTCAATCCACGCGCTGCCTTAACCGAGCAGCTTCCTTCAAGGCCGGGCCACACAACTTGGCCCAACACCTGTTCGGTCCAAATCTGTCCGGAACAACTCTGTCCGGCCCAAATCTGTCTGGCCCAATTCTATCTCATTAATCTCCCTCTCAATATATATGTTTGCATATGTATATATCGTACTCGTATATATCATATGTAGATTTCATTTGAGTCTCTTTAACTTTGTTGAGCAAGGTCTATTTTGCATCAAAGACTATGTCCACTCTTCACAATTGGGTACTTATTTTTTTTTCTCTCTAGTGGGTTCTCCTGATTTTTTCCCTAATGATGATTCTAATGCTTTCTATGGCTTCATCTAGATTGTTGTTTTGTGAAGTAGGTTTTCATCATGAGATCAACATGTGTCACTCTTTTTTGAAAATCTCATCATAAAGACTAGAGGATGACTGACAAGATTGTTCTACGGTTCTTTTTTTGGATGATAATGGTGAGTTTTGGTGAGATAAATTAAAATTTTTGCAAGTGGAAGAAGATGAAGTGAAAATAATTAAAATTTGGATAAGAAGATAAAGAGACTTAAATATAGGGTGTACCATGAAAGAAA